ATTTCTCTTCTTGTTTCTTTCCTTTTTCCTCCAACAACTGCTGTAATCTGTCTTCTTGTTTCTTTTCTCGTTCTTCTTATTTCTTTTGCTGTTCTTGTATTGTTGCCATGTTTCCATCTTCTTTTTTTTGTCCCACTCTCTGACACCAATTTGTTACGTATCTGGTTGTTTGTTAATTTCCTGTATAAATTCTATCCAAAGAACTTCAGCGATACAAGGCCTTTCTTAAATAAAACTAGTTTATTCTTTCTCAATACAACTTTGCAATACACTTAATTTCCACAGTCACTTTAACATAACACATGCTATAATTCACAACGATTCATACACTTTACTTACGGTCACTACCGCTCACTTGACTCGATTATCTGTCTCTATATCTCCCTATCTGCAATCATATCTCTGCTTTATTTGCTGGGCTTATATACAAAAATAGAGGGCATCTGGCAAACACTAGAATTGCCAGGAACAGTTCTATAAACTCATGATGTGTTACCAGCATCACGTGACTTCCGCTGTTGTAACAGTATGAATTTCTTATAACTTCTCCATTAATTTTCTGTCACATTCTTCTCATTTTCTTTTTAGTCATCTTTTATTTTTCTATCTTTTCCTATTTGATGTTCTTCTAATTTTCTGTCTCATTCCTCCTGATCTTGTCTTAATAATTTTATCATCTCTTTGACCTCATGGCCATCATCTTCAACAACTGAAGTTCAACATCATGTATATACAAAGTTCTACATCATTTTTATCAAACTAATCTCACTTCTAATATCAGTGCTATAACAATTTTTTCACTGCTAGGTTTATTTAAATTATCTGATGAAAATAATTCAATGTACAGTCCATGTAATGATCACAAGTTAGTTTATTTCCTTCTTTATAATTCTACAAGCTTAAACAGTATGATAACTTGCAGGCCCCATTTACAACCAAGCTAACTGTACTACACCAATGTAAAAATAAACTTACTTCAACAACTTCACAATTGATTTATCCTGTCATAAAACATAAACCACTGAATGATTCACCACTAGCTGTAACAAAAATATTCTTCAACTCTTTCACTCTATTGACTAGAAACAACTATTATATCCTTTTGATGGTTCACTGAACCTTGTATTTATAATCTACTCCCCAAATTTACTAGAAATCTTGTGTCAAAATGTTTAAAACTTTCTAGACCTACTGTATCAAACATTTCAATCTTAACATCATGCACCTGTTACGTATCTGGTCGTTTGTTAATTTCCGGTATAAATACTTTCTGAGGACCTTCAGTGATACAAGTCCTTTTTTAATTAAAACTAGTTTATTCT